GGCATGGCGAACCCGCTTTAAACTGATGGTGGATTTGCAGAGCCAATGCCACGAAGCTGAATCATTAAGAAGACAACAATCAACACGAAACTTCGCCAGAGGATGATCAGCCGTGTGGCTGAGGCTGCACTGTGCCAGCATCCCCAGCCATCAATGGATGATTCAGAACGAAAGGAACGAGACCCTGGCTTCCCATCATTCAGCTCCAAGTTTGGCACCTGAGGGCTACAAGTACCATCAACTGCTGTAAGCTTGGAATGCGTTTGCAACTCGCATGGGCTGCACCTTTAGCGCCATGCTGGTAGCTGCAGGTGCAACTCAAGGCTCAATGTGCGTATGTAAAAGCTCGTGAATCGACTCTCACTGAATAGGTCGAACGACGAGTGGCTAGTCTGCAAGAAGCGATCTGATGAAAGAAGCCTACGAAACTTCGGGGGGCTTGAGCCTGTCGCAGAGAAGATGTCAGCAGCAGCTCTGCCGTTGAGAAACTGCGCATGGCTTGTTCCGTCCATCCATTTACCATCCGAGGGACCTGTTTTCACCGAAGGGATCTTGCAGAAAGCGCGTTGTGGTGAAGTTGCGGCCTGGCACGAAATATGCTCCCACAAGAGCCCAAAAAACAGGACGAGATTGCAAGACTGCACGCCTCCACAACTCGTTTCAAGCTGCCTGGAAACCGCATGCTTCTCGCAACACGACCTGGCACAGACTAGCCTCAAACTGCAAGGCCAGCAAGAAGGGTCTGTTGGATTTCTCAAGGCCGTAGTTGGAAGCTCTGCATGCTTACTTGCTGCACACATACCAGAGGGAAAACTGCATCTCGATATTTTGTTGACTCAGAACGCATGCTTCAACACGAGGGACCACCTTTCCGTAAAGCGCTTGATGTGCTAGCAGTGCTTTATGCCTTCGGCTGAGTTTGCGGATGCTTCCTGTCCATCGTCTTCGTGTCACAAGAACAAGGGATGCCGACCACGAGACGATGGACCCACAGCCTGATGGTCTGCGAGTTTAACCTGCTGGATTCGCTTCCGTCTCCATGCCGTGGAAAGGATTTGTGTCACAAAGACGTCCTACCTGCTGAAATACTGAATCAGCATGTCTCGTGCACGTCTGACGGTCCTCGAGTTTCGACTACTTCGTCTGCGGCTAGTGCAGTCTTGAGTTTGAGAATCGAAAGACAATCTGGAAGTGTCCAGCTTTGATCTTTATAGAGGCTGTGGGCACTACTGGTAAGCCTGAACCCTTGGAGATGGCCCCAGAATGATGCAAAGCTTCTGCATGAGCAGATGCTCGAAGCTATGCCTATCGAGTCAAACCCGGCCACGGAATTATTCCTGGTCAAGTGACTGCCTGAACAGCACTGCAGTGGCCAACGACACAGCTTAGTTGTTCTGAGCATTGCGAAGGGATGCCCACATGGCCTTGGCAGCATCACCCGGGAACTTGTCCACTCGCTCCAGCAATCTCGGAAGAGTCGGGGCACTGGTTGTTACAACTTTGGTGCATCAAACGGTCGCGTAGGCGTAGGCATCGCAGGACTTCCGCGAAAAGAATGAAATAGCATATCAGCATATTGGTGATTGCACGGCAATG